CTTTGTAAATTTAAAGTTCTTGTTATTTTAATGCCATGTAATAGATTTAAAGCTCACATCGTATACCTGTCTCTAAACGCTTGGGTTTACTCAATATCAGACAGAGATACCTTCGTTTTTATGGAAAAGAGGCTAAAAATAAGTGTTCAGACACTTTTCTACAACATAATCGGACAGAAATTAATTACTGTGCTCAATTCTGCAAAGGGGCAATCAATGAACATTATAATGTTTAAAACATTACACTGTGCACCGGTAGATGGAGCTACCGACTGCGATAGTAATTAACTGATAATGTATGTGGGACATGCATCGTAGATGAGGACATCTGTTGAGTATTTTAAACGAACACCACTTGGCCTCATATTTTAGCCGGGCAGTGACACTCTCAACAATCCGCAAGCTAGTATATGTACCAGTGCATTGCATTGTATATCCTTCAAAAAGAGCGCTATAACCTTCTGATATTTTCCTAGAAAAGGTGTGTCAAAATTAACGAATAAATAATTACAACGTCTGAATGACTTTATTTATAAATATTATGTGAACGGTTGTAATGCAAATTCTATATAGACCTATGAAATGAAAGTTTTCAGGTTCTTTCTTAAGTGTAATGTAACTATGCGTACATTTTATAGTGTATCAATCTGCAAAAGGGTGCTCATAGACAAGTTTCCCGAAATAAAAGAGCTGTCGCCAGAAAACTGGTCTCAATATTTAATCCAAAAATTTTGTTAATGTTGACTAATGATGAATTGGTATGGGATATTGTACCTGTTTTATAACGAGTGGATACATTAGTAGATATCGTATCGGGATGTTATCTTTATTTTTAAAAAAACATTTATTGCAAATGAAAGAGTTCCTGGCAGTCATTTATATTCAAATATGGTAATGGGAGAACATCACCAAACTACATGTATTAAGACACCGTGTGCACCCGTGTAACAGGAGTGGTAGTCCTAGGAATGGAAGTCCAGGCCTCCACTTAAGATGTATTGTTACATAGCTGTCGGCGTTGGCGTGCAGTTAGTTGAAATAATTATAAATAGACGCGACGCGACCTCAAGCGATAGAACGAAGCAAGTTTGGTGGTGACAGTGTGAAAGTACAGGGTATGTTTTTATTACACCAGCATGACGTTTTCATGATTTTACTGGATATTATACGTATTTCACCCTAAAAGCTATTATAGCTATTACTTTTAACAAGTGAAGAGTTCATTTTTCTTGCAAAAAAGTCACTGTGGAGTTAGTACACAGTATCTGGGTCGATAGATAAATTGGAAGAGGCCTTTTATAATTCGTCATCTATACCAGGACTTGGAACCCTCTGATTGTTGGTGGGCTGAGGGGGCGACGGACAGTGTCTTTTGTTCCACTTCCTCATTGATCTTGGTGACATAGGCCGCGTTCAGAACAGCGGATTAACTAGTCCACCGGTCAAATATAGCCGAACCACTTGAATACTTCCATATTAGCGGATTAGACGGCAAGCTATTTTGCCCGCGAAGTAGTTAGTCCGATGTTCTGAATGCAGTCATAGTCCCAAAAAGCTAACCTTGACAATCTTACAATGCGACTGCCTTTTTTCAGGAAACCAGATAGACTCGTTGGAGGTTTTAAAGTAACATTGTATGCCCGATACCACTATAAGGACTGCTCAATGGCTACACCAAAAATCAGTTTTTAAAGCAGAAAGTTGCTTTTGCTGTGGCACTGACCTTCGACAGTGAGATATTCTTAGTTTAAAGTCCGCTGCAGCCACTTTGCTTCTTGTCTCGTCTGCACGAGATAACGTCAGCGCAAGGTGGGAAAGGCAGCGCCAGGCGGCACAGAGCTGTGACGTACGAGACTTGTGACTTCCAAATATGGAGCTCCAGGCGGATACAGCTGTAACGTATGAGACCAGTGACTTCCAAATATAGAAGCGCCCCAGGCAAAATTTTGCCGAACGAGCCCTCCGCTTGACGCTAGTGGGTAGAGCCAGTTTTGTTGATATGGGTTATAAATGAAATCAAGACCGAGCTTGAAAAACTGAAATCTAGAGCCTAGGGTACGTGAATATGGCTAAGAAGTTGTTGTATCACCCCGCTCCGACAAAACTCTAGATTATAGTCACTGGGTGAGCCTGTGAATGCGTTAGAGAAGACATACAGACGACAGATTGCGTGTCCGTCTTCTCTGAACATATGCCAGTGTAACGAACCTAAGGGTCCATGAAACAGAGAATCCGTCTTCATTTAGTTATAATGGTAGAGGTAAGCCTGACCTAAGTGGGTCAAAACCATCTAGCTATGATCAACGTTTTTTAACGATTCCCTCCTCTGAGGGACTTGCGTTAAGTAAAACCGTGTCGGTGTGAACCGCATTTGATACCATTGTGCTCTTGAAAATCAAAGGTGAAGCAAACAATTTCCCACTCACTGATAGTAAAAGAAATTATCTATCTAGGAGGGCTCTGTGCCAGCTTCTCAAACAAGGTCTAGTATTCAAGGCTCTGAATTCAGAGTCTGGTGGCATAGACGCATAACGTTGGAGTCATAGGAACGGAGAGACCCACCCACATTAGTTAGAGAGGCGGCGCGTCCCGCTTTGATTACGTCGCGAATGACTTATGTATTTCCTACTCTTTATGTACTTATTGACACCACCCGGTAACTGTTCTTATTGAAATAACTAGTACGCTTTTGTAAAATAACAGTTATAATGATCACAATGGTTTAGTTTTCTAATAAACACCTATATTATCTGTTTAAGAGATAGATTAAAGTTTCTAACTAATCAATTGTTCATTATGTCCAAAAGAAAACATTATTTCAACAAGACCTAATGCCGCCCTAGTAGTTAATTATTTCATCACGATGAGTTTTACTTACACCTTTTTAACCACCTAGTTTACCAGTTGCTCAGTTTTATGAAAAAGAAAATAAAATAAATAAGAATAAAAAACATCAAATATTGCTGTCTTAGTTAGATGCCACTTCAGGAGCAGGTTTAAATAACAGTAGATTGCGTAATAACAAGAGTTTTGCAAGAAAGACCGTTGTTCCGTTTTCACTTCAACTCCATGATGCTGGCTGCAATCACTTAAGCTCTGTAATTTTGTAAATGTCTGATAAATATCGGTCATTAACTCTTGGTGACTTCCATTATTTTATAATTTGTCTGGTTCGCATTTACTTAGTAAACATGATCTATGTTAATGGCCTTTTCCTGTTCGAGAAGCTACTAAAATTAAGATTGACTTCACTTAAGAATTATCGAGTACCGCTTTCACCAAATATTTTTTTATACTTTAAGTCATGGAAGAAGCTTTTTGAGTAATACAAAGAATTAACGCAGTGAGCGGAAGGCTGGGGCGAGCTGGTTTATTTAAATTAAATCAACACGTTTTGTTTTTAGAGTTAGTCTTTAGAGATTTTAGATATATCAATGGTGGACTAATTGAACTGTTCTACTTATCTTTAACTGTGCGGCCAGTCTTCGACGTCAGTGGGTAAACCACGCAGGGCAAATTGAGGGGTCTTCGAAAGTTTTTCACCAGCATTAATCAGAGATAGAATTAGCTAAATATCAATAAGCAATAAGCAAAATGATGATATTAAGTAAATGAATGGTTAATTTCCCGTCTTCACTCAATTTATCTATTTAACCTCGATAAAGAGCACCAAGAAAAGGGAGTGCCAATAGATCGATCTAGCGAGGGTGTCTGAAATTTTGGAAAACACCAAACAATTGTTAACACGTTATGGCCATGATAGGATTGTTCTGTTGGAAGCTGGCTGGGAAAAGGCTTCAATTTACGACAAATGTTATCTAAAAAGATTACAAGTGTGGCTGGCAATGAAACCACAGCACCTATCCTACGAACGATTACTTATTATTTTCGGTTTCAAAACATCTACGTCATTCACCAAAAGAGCAGTCTCGTACTATTTTAATACAAAATTTTTGGAAATGAATATATAGTTTAAAAAACTACAGTTTAAAAACTTTATCCATTTCCAACACTACTTGTTCAACTATGGACCAAAACTAACTTGACAGAAAAACTCGAATTTCATCAATCAGACTGCTTCATATCCTAAATCATGCTGTTAGACTGTCAATTTTTTAACATTAAGTGCATTAACATTTAATCTGTATGTGTCTTTTGACAAGTAGATCCTCCCAATCATGCTGATGAATTATAAACTCAGTTTTTGCCTTTCCTTGTCGTTAATGGACATCAGTTAGAAAAATAAATCTGACAATTATGTACCTTTTAGTTTCAATTTACAGAGGTTGCCCTGGTCAGTAATAACGGGATAGTGCTGGTTGTTTATCTTGACGTGCAAATTGTTCCATTCTGTAATGAAACATTTTGGTACTAATTGCCGGTATTAGAGTTTCGGTTAAGTGACGCGGGTAGACATTTAACTTGGACAAAATACGGGCGGATAGATGTGAAATCATATAAATCAGAAGGAACCCGAGCGTGACTTACGTTAAAAAGTTTGAAGTCTTGCAGCTGCAAGAAGAAATAAGGTTGTAAGATGGGGATAGTTTTTAAAACTATCGCCCTTCTCTGGGTTGGACTTCCCTTGATCTCGCCTTGCCCGTGGAAAGCCGAGACTCTGAAACGCTGGAGCGAACCGTCCTCCTGGCCCGATGGAAAGGTAGGGTCCACCTAAATTTTGCGAAACATAATTTTCAAAAATAAAGACTATTGGCGGTTAAAAATGCATATGGACTGACTGTGAAGTAAAAACAAATACATTTTAAACGTGTAATTATGCTGGCTGGCGAGGGAAATGCGATTTTCCCACAGAACAGATTCATTTTAATTATGTTTCTTTATGTCACAAATTAAAATGCCTGAACCCACACTGTGATTCAAACGTTAAATGTCAGAAACTTAACCCGCTGGTTACTGTCCAAAGCCATCCCAGTTCTTTAAAAAATTCCATCTCCCTGAAAACCTGACTTCCAGCAACATGGAGACTGCCCCGCGACCGTTTTACACATCACTTTTTCAACAAATGCTTGATTTCTTACAGGTTCCCGAGGAAAGTTCCAGCGTCGTCATCAGCAACGACCTGCATATTCTCCTGGACGTCTCCCCGCCGTGTCTGCATTCCATTTCCATCAACCAAGGCGGAAAGCTCGTTTGGGGAGTCGAGGGCGACTTTGAAATCCTAACCGATTACATTTTAGTGGGTGAAAACGGGACGCTTGAAATCGGTAGTAGCACTTGTCGCTTTCCTAGGAACAGAAAGGCTATCATTACTTTAACAGGTATGTAAAATCGAGGATGACTTATTCATTTTTGCTAAGTGAACTTATAGAGCATAAAGAGGCAAGTTGCGTCCATTCGCGCATGGGAGGTTAGAGAGGCGATATTACAATATATGCATTTCGCAAAACCATTTAGAAGTGTGAAATTGTCGAATAACTACAAGATTAGTTGCGAGATTATTGTTCGTTACATCATCAAATAACCAGTATAAAGGCGAAGTATTGACTTAATTTGCGGTAATATTCATTATTTGGAATTAAAAAAAGGAAAAACCACCACGGCAGAAATGCTACAGAGTCCAGGAAACACTATATTTCAAAAAGCAGTTTTAGGTTTGTTTAACTTTGTGTGAAAAGACTGCATAAAGAGATCAAATAATTCTTTTTCGAAATTTCAACAAGTTATGGTAAAACAAAATGAACATACTAAATACACGTAGCTTAAAAAACGCAGTAACATCAACATATTTTAAGGCGACATACCAGTAAGTTTACCGTTTGTAAGTGCAAATGTTGCAGGCACTGTTTGATGCCGAGGAGGGGCTATACAACAGACTCTGAGATAGGAAGTTGTCTATATTCCTGCCAAGCATAAATAATTCTTCATCCTTGCTTAAATTAAGTTATAGTTGGCTTCTTTTCTCAGGCAAAAGAGATGATTACGAAAGTATCCCCGGCTTTGGCCAGAAGTTCCTGGGTGTACAAGGCGGGTCTTTGGAAATCCACGGAGCTAATAAACTGCCCTGGACCAAACTAAGCGAAACGGCCCGCAAGATCCGAGCAGGGGACGATGGTCTTGTTTGGAGCCATGACGTGAGTGGCTCTGAGCGCATTCGGAACAGCGGACGAACAGATCCGCGGATCAAATATGGCCGACCCACTAAAAAGCTTTCCGCTTAATTCTTTATTACATACTGAATAGATTCGGCCATATATGATCCGCGGATTTCTTAGTCCGCTGTTCTGAATACGCTTTTTCTATTTGAATGGTCGTTTTCTGTCTAGTAATCCGAGTAATGGTGACTAACCTAACCAAAAAACATGGCGCGGTTTAAAGTGCACAGTTATCATTATCAGGCCAGTACCCAGGGAGCTCGGGGGGAGGAGGGGTGGCGAACTGCCCTTTTTTGTCGTGAAAAAGTCCATTCTTCGTAAAATTTGATCACGGAGATTTCTTGGTAAAAGTTCCACTTTTTAGTAAAAGAAACATCACTACCCCCTTAAATTGCTTGTTATGTGCCTGATTATCGTGTCTAACCTTACAACAGGTACTGCAACAAATATTGATTATCCGCACATAATCCAGAGTTTAGAAGCTATATAAATATCAATATTTTTTGTTCACAGACCAGTGAAAATTGGGGCATCATTGAGGATGGTCTTTATATGTATGCCTTTGATTCTACCGGGAATCCCAGCGTCTTCCAGTCTCCCTCGGATCCCATTAACACCGTGAGTGACGGTAAGGAAAGCTGAACTTTATATTCGTTTTAATGCGTTAACAATTTGAGCTAGGTGAACGAGACATTTGATTTGTATCTAATGACACAACGACAACCAACCGATTAATGCAATTTCTCTCTCTCTCTCTCTCTCTCTCTCTCTCTCTCTCTCAATATAATAATGTGGCGCCATGGAGGCACTGACATCCTACATCAAGTTTTTCCACGCTTTGTTGTTATGTTCCAGACTGCCAGTGTATGGAGAAGCTATTATCTGTCTATTCTCTAATGTTATCTTTCCATATAGTAATGTATACAAGTCAGTGTGTGTGTGCAAAATAAAAAAAAAGTGAAAGAGGATAATTGTTTATGTTCCTCATAATTTAATTTCCCTTACAGTTCTCGCTGACGGCCAGGTAGTCATGGCAGCCATGCGAGGTTCGAAAGACATACCGGAAATGTACGACTTCCTGGAAAGTCTCGGAGCCAGTAAAGTCAGAAATTTACAACCTGGGTACGCTTGGGCGATGGTGGCTGTCAAAGGTAATTAAACTGTTCGAAATTTATCTGTAAACTATCCGAGTTGGAATTATTGAATATGCAAACTTACTTAAGACTCTTTGTTTTTCGTTTTATATTGTGTTTAAGTCGCCATTCGCATTTTTTGCAACCATGTCTGTCCTAACAACAGGAGGGGTGGGGCAAAGCTGATTTTTCTTTTCTGACTGGTTATTGGCACTCCCCCAGTCAACCCAAATTGAAACACATCTTACTGCTTCCTACGCGCATGAAGAGGCAAAAATTGATCGTCGGTAATATTGGAGCCGAGCGGCGTTGAGGATGCCAACACTGATGTCTTTAATTTTTTAATGAATGTATCAATGTATTTTTGGTTTGTTTGTTATTGCTTCTACTTTTATTATTATTATTATTATTATTATTATTATTATTATTGTTATCTTGTATGCCGCAGGAAGTCCTGAGCTGGTCCAGGAGGAGCTGGTCGTCACCAACGGTCACATTAACACGGACACCGGGCCACTCACCCTGAACTACGGGGAGAAATATTACACCGTGGAGAGCGCCACCGAAGTCAAGCACGAAATCGCGTTGAAGACTCAGCAGCGGTCGTTCGTCCGCTTCATGGTGATGGACGCTCTTATCCAGCCGGTACTGAACGTTATAGATGATGTGTCGTTATGGAAACCAGGTCAGTGGGGGCTTGTTGGTATTATTATTATTATTATTATTATTATTATTATTATTATTATTATTATTATTAATACTTTCAAGATGATGATGTTTTTCATCCAGTAAGAAAAATTACAATGAACTCTGAAAATAATTGAGGATCACTACAAATATCATGAATACTCTTTTTTCATATTTATTATTATAACATTTTTTTATATCCAGGTGACGTGGTGGTGGTGTCGTCTACAGATTACGACTGGGTTCAGGCAGAGGAGAGGACGGTGGTGGACTGTAGCGACTGCACTGAATACCAAGTCAAGTTAGATCGTACGTATTTCACATTCGAAATTAAAGGCTAGTTGAATGATGACATTAATTCCTCACTGAAATTATCGTTCATGAGAGAAAAAGTGTAGAGACTTAGCTAGAGGCATGTTTGTTAATATCTAGTGAAAATCTGTCGCTCTGGTGGAGGGTAATCAATTGACACTAACACCCCATTTCCATAGATTAGATCGACCTACTNCCAGATTATCTGACAGTAATCTGGTGAGACTGCCCGCGGTGATAGATCGATCTAAAGTTGTGGGAATAGACCCTAACACCCCATTTCCATAGAGTTTTAGATTGATCTATCCCTGTAGGGAGTCTCACTAGATTACTGTCAGCTTGGCCGGCTTAAGCGTCTGTCCCGCCTACTAAAAGCTGTTACGGGGTAATTAACTATGGTGCCCGCTCGACTGACTGCAGTTTAGCGTGAACCCCCAGGGAGTTAGGTCGATCTAAAACTTAATCTTTAGATCGATCTTAATCTCTGGGAAAGCACCCTAATATTGTAACTTCGCTCATCACCCTATAACTGTATTTACCAGGGCTCCGTGTATGAGAATGTTATTTTCTAAATCATTCGTTTAATTTGATCACCCACCCTGATAGAACAAATTGCAATCTGCAAGAAAATCGGGAGATACCGTTTTAAATAATCATAAAAAAACATATATATCTCAGGTCAATACCAATTAACCTAAACCCTTGCATTGTGTAAGGATTAAACGAGTTGAATGTTAGCTGCTAAACTTTTTTGCAATGCGATTTTTCAATTTCTGCATTAAATACACATATTCACACCTTTTTTTCTTTTTTTATTATTTAGGTCCTCTGTTCTACGACCACTGGGGGGAGATCACGAACAACGTTGACATGCGCGCTGAAGTGTCACTTCTCACCAGGAATGTGCTGATACGGGGGCAGATGGAACTGGAATGTTACGGCGACAACGTGTGTGACAACTTTCAAATGGATACCTTTGGCGGACAATTGAAGGTTGTGATGATTACTATTAATTAACAAATTGAGTATTGATTATTACTAATTTTTTTTCTTTTTTACTTTATTTGTTTATAACGTACAGGGTGAGATATAAATGTATTCCATCAGCGTTTAACGAGGAAAATTAAATTTGGCACGAAAATCACTACAAAGAATACCCCTTTTATAAAAGGTATGGTTCAGAAATAAAATATCGTTACGTGTAGTAATTTATTAATTAACAAGTATATACACAATAAGATACAATGATGAAATCAAAATAAATAGATTGCTAGATACATGAATAAATGGATAAAAAAACTCATCTTTCAGTTCACCAAAGACTTCATTACCGGTAATGTTGAAGGAGCAGAATTCTATAACATGGGGCAGCAGGCCGTGTTAGGTAGGTTGCGTTGACCATCGAAAACCTACATGTGTGAAAGTGCATCACAGGTGGGCCCATTAATTACCTTTAAATATTCAGGCACGGTGAGGGGGGGTCAAGGTGTGAAACTACCCCTTCACATCCCCCGCCACCTACCGGCACGTGTTACCTATACTTTCTGTCCTGTAGCCAAGCAGGGTTTTGGGGGTCGCTCGGACAAACCGCCATTTTGCCGGTAAAATGTTCGCTCTAGGTAAATTTTGATCTGGGTAAACGTCTGTTTTACGATAAAAGGTTATTTTTTCAGGAAGACAACTCTGAGATCCCCCCCCCCCTTTGAAATGGCTGGCTTAATAAGTCCTATTCAATGTTAATAAGAGCCACCACTGCTTAAATAGCACCTGAATGATAGGAGAGAGAGAGAGAGATAACAACGCCTTCAATATTCTCCATTCTAAGCAGTTATTTTCGTTCCCAGGCGCCTATCCGATCCACTTCCACCTGTGCCTGGACCGTGACTTGCCCGGCATGGAACCGCCTGTCATCCGGCAGAACTCTATCCACCACGCCTGGTCCCGCTGCGTCACTGTCCACGGCACTCACGGAGTACAGGTGGGAAAGAACGGGCAACGCCCTACACAGGGTTTTACAAAGTGCTTCAGAACATAAGACTTGGTTCCCATACCATCCCATACCCATACCTATCAGAATCGATCCATCTCGAAGAGGTTTCTCGCTTAAGCAGCTTATATGTCTGGCATGCCTACTGAAGCTGCTAAATGATAATTAATTACCCCCTAGCAGCTTCATTAGTCATGACAGACATCTAAGCCGCTTACGTTGATTGCAGTTTAGCGAGAATCCCCTCGGAGATGGATCGCAGTTAGTACGATAGGGTCTGGAAATGGTCCGGTCCCTAAGGTGCGCTTGATTGTAACCCACTCCTAGATAATGCCTCAACTAGGAAGTGTACTGGAGTTTCGAAACGGTGGATGCAAACTTCTTGAATCATACGTTTATTTATTTTTTTAATCAATTTTTTTTTATTTTTGTAATTTATTTTATTCAGAACGGAGTTTAATTTTAGTTCCTTTTATCCACTTAGGAGAATCGCTTTACAGAGTTGCTCTGTATTATTACATACCTAAACGATAAAGTAATCAAACAGCTAATAGATTTATTGATTTATTTCCAATTGAAGGTTATTGACAACGTAGGTTACCTGACCTTTGGACACTGTTTTTATTTGGAGGACGGAGGTGAAAAAAGAACAGTCTTTGATGGCAACATTGGACTTGGAACGTTGAAGGGAAAACTTCGGCCCGCTGACGAGAGGTGATTGTTTTTTAAATCAAAATTGTGATTATTATTTTTGTCAACTCAGTCAACAACACCGTGGTTTCAATGAAATGATGGTTTTTAATGGTAGTTCGTCCATATTTCTATTATCATAGGTAAATAATTCGTGGATATTACCGATTTGAAAAGTTTCCAAATAAGGCCTATAAAAACAGAAAACATAACGTCGTTGTTTGTTTCATTAAGTTTATATCCTGTTAATTACATCTGAATTAAGCCTTCATTTTTTAGAACAAACAAACTTGGATTCATATTCTCTGTTTCAGTCCCGGTACTTTCTGGATCACCAATCCCCTGACCTACATTCGTAATAACGTGGCTGCTGGTTCTGAGGTGAGATTTAGACTGGGTTCCCATACCTACATGTAGATCGATCTAACAGGATCTCCGATGGGTTTCTGGCTAAATTACTTTTAGCTTAAGCGGCTTAGATGTTTGGCACGCCTATGATAATGAAATGATAATTGATTACACCCTAGCATCTTCAGCAGGCGTTACAGACATCTTAGCCTCTTAAGTTGATCGCAATTTAGCGAGAATCGAGATAGATCGATCGACAGTTAGTATGACAGGGTCTGGGAATGGTCCCTTGCACACGGTCACTTCCGTCTGGGCGTCCACTGGCTGCCGAACGATTCATCTGCCGAATGTCCACTTTTCAAAAATGTTTTGAATACTACGGTCATGATGTAATGAATCAGATACCTACGCACTTTGTCGGGTTGGTTTTAATAAAACACACATAATGTTTTGTTTATAAGTAAAGGTAATGTTTAGAAAAAAGACACTGCTCATTGCTGTTGATACCTTTGCACAGTCCCGCGGAAAAGTAAGCATGAAACCCTTTGGTAAGCTTTTTTCTGGCGGAATTGTATCACAAGCTTTGTTTTAGACGGACTGGGGCTGACGCCATGGTGTGTATTAGTATCGTATGATTTTTATATTGCAGGATATTGGTTTCTGGTTCATCTACCCGATAGAACCCAAACCTCCCTCCAAAGATTATAACATGATGGCGCCATTAGAGGCAAAACGAACAGCCATTCTGGAGTTGAAAAATAACGTGGCTCACTCAAATATAGTAAGTGAATATAATATATATTTGTGGGAGGAAAACGAACAGCCATTCGAGAGTTCATTAATAATGCGGGGGTCCACTCAAATTTAGCAAGTTGATATCAAAGTGCTTTAAGAACAATTTTGCAACACGAATGCTCAAACATGATCCAACAGATATTATATTACATCTAACCCCATGTTTTCCTATAGAAAGGATTTTTCTCCGATAATACTTTGGGAGACGACGAGGATATTCTCACCACTCAGAAGGAATGGAAACCGTCCACCGTTTTCACGGCCAGCCACCTCACCGCCTACAAGAGCAAGGAGAGAAACTCTTGGTTCAGAGGGAGCCCCATAACCTTCACCCAATGCTCGTGAGTGGTCTTCAGGAGGCTCTCTCATATTTCAGAAACACCATTTCTGCCCTAGCGATTTTGATGAAAAGTTCCAAACGAAATCTTCTCACAATATGAGTGAAAATATGAAATAAATTGGGAGCATCTAGCTGGTTTTCGAGAGGCACCGTCCCGAAAACGTCCCGGAGTTGGTATAAGTCCAAGCGTCACCGAACGCTCTTCGCTAAATGAGACATTTGGTTGACATATTCGTAACAGCAATGCTTTCATTAAAGGATGAATGACACATTTTATTGCATGTTATATTTTGATCATTATATTTTGATCACTGTCGTAAAAGAAGCACCAATCTAATACGTGTATGAGAGAGTTTCCTTAAATGATTTTTGTTTTCTGTATTGTTGTTGTGCGACAGACAACGTGAGTATATGACGTATAATTAACTAAGAAATCTAAAGCAACGTTTCCTTGATTATAGTCATGGGTCGAATGGACAATAGAGTTGTCACCCCCTGAATAAGAGTAATCAAAGTTATTAACCTGAAGAGGTGCAATGTCAGAATGTCGATACAGTTGAATTGTTCATTCAGAACGGGGCTGAGGATAAAGTCGTCCGTTACTTCTAAGAGTAGTGAAGGAGGTTTGACATTGCTGCTATTTAAGAAAATGTCAAAAATATTACTTATTTTAAAATGTTATTTATTTTACATTTTCAGTTTCTCGGACAGTCCCGTTGGACACACGTTTCCAATGTGAGTAATTTAATGCCTGAATATACCGGGTATCTACGCTCATATATATATATATATATATATATATATATATATATCTGATAATTATATCTTTGAAATCAATCCATATTTGCTTGGAAGACGAAGGCTTAACCTAAAAAAAAGAGTTAACCAACCAGTCTGCTTAACCCCCCTTTACACTGGACGGCGTCCTTTCTGCGTCCCGTAGTACGGTCCCACTTTAAGAGTTAAAATAATAATATATTACGTACCGGCAACTTGCCGATCATTGAGCATTAAATTTTGCAACCACAGCGATGCCCGTGCCTTCGTTCTACGACCATAGTGATACCAATTTCATGGTCGCACAAAGGACGCAGAAAGGACGCCGTCCAGTGTAAACCGGGTTTAACGACGGGGTGGTAACACAAATCACTGGCTTTGTTTCAGTGGGGGTTATAATGAAGACATATTCACCAACAGCGTTATATTTGGGCAGTCAGAGAACATAGGCGAGCCAGAAATGTACAAAGAAAACAACGTATGGAAAAAACATCCGCGGGCAATGCCTACATCTAACCCGTGAGTTAGGAATTATGTATTGTGCTTTAACTCTCCATGGTTAAGATACAATTGGGTTTGATAACATGAGGTTCCATATTTTAATTTAATTCAATTTTATTTCATTATTATTTTTAAATTTGTTTTATCTTCTATGCGTATAAGTGTAGTATACACTTAACGTGTTTTTTCCTCTTGAATTAAACTTTATTATTAAAATTATTATAATAATTATTATTATGATTATTGTGCAACCCGATGCTCTGATACACAATTACCATTTGTTTTTATGACATTATTTTAACCAAATAATCCATTCAAATATGTGCTGTATTTATCGTTTTATTAAAGAAAAACAGACAGTAATACAACGCATATAAAATTTTAATGATCCACGCTATAGAACTAGTATAAATATATAATATTACTTTTCTTTTCCATCTGAGCTGTAATTTTTTCGTCATTAATAACCATGCTCACTACCTCTGTTGAATTATATAATCATTTTATATCAATTTATATCACCGGTTTTTGTTTCAAATTTTACAGGGCAACTGGATTCAACGGTTTGGTCATCTACGATTCAGTTAATATCGTCAGGGACACCTTTTTCGGAGGTTATAAAACTGACGAGTACCGTCCTGCCGGTGCCATTGGTTTTCTCCGGAAGTCTGCGGCCTTTAACAGAGTTTGGAACAACTTCCAGGGGATAAAGTTTGACAAAAACGACCCAGAGGAAAGTTGACGTTATTTTCTAATGGCATGCATTTTTTATTTATAAAGTAGTGAGGTGCAATTTTGAAGATAACCAAACTTTAGACTGAACTTGTTGTGTGTGTGTGTGTGTGTGTGTGAATATTTTTTCCGTGGGAATATTACCAGCGATTAGGTTGCCTAACCTGATTCCTTTTTTCACTTAGACAACTATTTCTTTGCGGTATCAACTCAAGATATGATTGATAAACACTCCCTTGTTATCTACATTATCTTGATTACCGTTATGTCCCCAATCCACATAGTAAGATCG